AGAGAGAGAGAGAGAGAGAGAGAGAGAGGAGGGGGTTGAGTGGAAAATTAGGGTTAGAGTGTTTATATAGCACCTGATTTTTGAAGATTGAAATTTTGTCCCTGATTTTTGAATTTGAAATTTATAAAACCTGCCTCCATGTAATTTCCTCTTAGAAAATACAGAGAGGAACCCCGAGCACCGAAGGAACAGTTTTCGACAGATATATTGGAGAACAATTGGCAGCGTCTTGGAAAAATCATAGAGACGGAAATAAAGGAGAGAGGAAAGAAAAAAGAATTAAGCTGCAAAAGAAAGTAAAAGCAGCAGAAATTCTCACGCAAAACAGGGAAAAGAAAGAAAGAGAAAAGGGAAAAAGGAAGTGAATTGCAAATACGAGAAATTCTCACGTTTGGCCAATTTTTGGTGATACCGTTCCACTTTTTCTTATTTTAATTTTTCCAGGATGAATAATTAATTTTTATATTCGGAAAATAATGTAATCGACTTGTGATCCTTAATTCTTTTATTCAAAATTTATGTGATTTATTTATTTATGTGTTGATTTTATTATGAGTTTAATGCATTAAATTACCTGATCAATAATTTGATTATCCATTGAGTTTTTTACTAATCGAGAGGTAAGTTTGAGACTTAGAACATGTAATAAAATCCGGTAACGAAGTATAGCGTGTAAAGATGCATATACTAAGTATTGCGGCTGTTATATGAATTCCTAGTATCATAATTCGTTTAACTAAGGGTAATTCGCANTTCAGAGCAGCAGATAAGAAAGGGATGTTGAAAGTTTGAGCTATACTACCAAAATTTAGTTACCATTTCAATTTTCTTTACTTTCTTCCTAACATTGCTACGTAACTCAACTGGTGCTAAAACGTCAATTTATGCAGCACTACATGACAATAAATGACAAGTTCAAATAAATGTGATGTTATAGAACACATTTAATTAAACATTTCATGTTTTAATTTCATGTAGTGTCACATAGTACTTGGCACAGTCCTTTCTTCTTTCGTCGACATTTTACCAATCAAATTGCTTAGCCACTTGTTATCTCGATTCATAGCCATATGAATTTCACCACAAGAAAATGACTTCACATGCCAGTTCAAGAAAACGAAACAATAATGCATCTTCATGCCAACAAACCCACGAGAACTATTAAGCCAATAATGGTAAGGCCTGCTCCCTTCTCGTATGGATTTCACATGGCGAACAAGGTATAACACCACATCATGAAGTCCATGTTCGTCTCCCATTCTTTCAAAACTCTTTTTTATATATACTCATTTTCAATTTCATTTACACAATAAAATATTTTACACGTAAACCCAATACGTTCCCCTACTTTTTAACGAAACATTCTCCAAAAATTAAATGGCCACCAAACAACGGCTAAAATTTGAAACAAGAGTACTATAAAATAGAAAATTGTACTAATATTTCATATTTACAATGTGATTTACCCAACTACGTGAAACTTCTTACAGATTCTCCTCAGAAAACAGCCTGATGAAGTTTCCCCTCTTTTCACCTCTTACATACACCATTACAAAGAGGGTTTAGCTTCACACCCCCTAAATTATTTTGGTCAATAACTTCCATAACTCATATACTTAAATAGACACATTGCTTCAATTACAGACACTTCGAAATATATTTACACTAGACAAAATGATGTATTACCCGCTCACTTGATCAAAACGTTCAAAACTCCTTATCTGCTAAATCAATTGAATGCTTGAGCTTTTCTCAACTTCAGTAGTTCTTTGTATGTACTAGTTTCCCAGGGATCACCCTAAGCCAGGGCAGGGATGCTGCAATTGCGCCTATCCCTGTCGAGGCAGTCAAAACCCTCTATCCTCACAGCTGGACTGTTACCAAAATTAGCCCGAACACGACCCACTTTACGGGTGGAGGATGGTGATGGCCCCAGCCCAGATGGGATCGGGATTGCTCTTGGGGAAACTGGAGTGACCTTCTCATCCCCAAATCGAGCATCTTGAATTAGTGGGTTAGATACTCTTCTTGGCGGTGACCCAGAAAAAAATGGGGGCGACGAGGCTACCTGGGCAACTGATTGATCTGCGCCAAAACTACCCTGCAAATAAGAACAAACCTCTGTTTTAATATACGATTTTACTCACCTAACAAATTTTGTCTGCATAAAACAAAGTAAAAAGGATTTTTACAAACTCAAACGGATTTGGTTTATACATCTGATTCACATATCAAAGTGAAAAAAAATTCATATCGAATTAGAAAAATCGAAAACACCTTTGCAAGGATGATTTCCAGCAGTTCATTTCCAGCCTTCGCATCACAAGCCTCCAGTTGATGGCTGTTGTTTATACACAGAAAAATCACAAGTTAATAAACAAATCTAAACTGCATAGACAAATAAATAATTCAAGATTATGTAAAGATCATTAGAGAGGTGTAAAAGTAACAAAACTTACATGGAATGCCATCTCAGGGGTCTGGTAGAAGGAGAATCATTAAAAGCAGCAGCTGCATGGACTAGGCCGACACGGCGGGGCTTGGGGCAAACCACCGCCCCTTTCTTGCCCTTCATCTCATCACAGGCAGCAAAAGTGTTCTTCTGAATTGTACAGTGATTCATTTTATTTTTTACACACCTGCGTGTTTATCAAAAGATGGAATTTTTTATTTAGAAAAGAAATTGGATATGAGAATAACAGAGATATCATATAAATTAAACACACGATACAAAGAAAAAATTGTTCTTTAACTTTTGTTTAAAGCTAAAATTCGGCCAACGTGGCAGAAGATAAAAACCAGGAACTTAGCCGGCAGAGATTTTTGACTTGTTTTTACGGACAAAAATAAAAGTTTTATAATCAGTATAATAATAAACTATTTGAGAAGAAACCTATACAGATCTGTTGTAAAAATCGAAACTTTTATTTATTTATTTATCTTTTCATTTCAGAATTATTCTCCTAGTGCTTAAGGTGAAACAGATCAAACAAAATCTCCTGACTATATGAATTTTTATGTAAAGTAAATCTTTTCGTGAAAATAAAGAAAATAATTGGCAATTTTCAGCCGCCTCTATGAATTGATCCAATATTTAAACGGATCTGTACAGAAATTTATAATTTTCATATGAAACTTCGGTGCTTTGAAGGGATAAATTAGCTCTAACAGATCATCTGTGAAACCAAAAAGAAAAAAGAAAACTCAAAACTTATTAATTCTTGTTCACCAAGAACTCATTTTTTTTCCCCAAAAAACGAAAATAACTTTCAGAAACAAGATTTTTCAACGCCAAAGCTACATAAAAATGAATTGAAGCAAAACTTCATCTGGGTTTTCTCAAAACTTGAAAAAAAAAAATAGAAAACAAGAACTAGTCCATCCACTTTTCCACTACAAGAAGAAAGAGAGAGAGATTTCAATTACCTGAAAGAGCTGTACAAAATTGTATGTTAGAGAGGATTTCAATTAAAAAAAGAGAAGAAGAAAAAAAAAATAAAGAAGAAAGAGAAGAGAGAAAAGGAGAGAACAAATACACGGTGACAGAAAACGAGAACGATGAGGTACGAGAAAAGAACGTTGATGGAGTGGGGCTATATTTCATTTATAGTCATGGAAAAAAAAGAAAAATCAGAAATCAAAAAGTTTAAATAGTAATTAATTGTTTTTTTCATAAAAAAAAGAGTAGTGTCCAATAAGCAATGTGTGTGGGAGATGTTCACGAAAATAATTGTTCATTTTAAATCATCGCAAGTGTACGATTCGTAACAAGTAATAAAGTGGAATTGAAAATTCCGGATATCGTACCCACAGAGATTGAATTGATTTGATTTTAATTACCGAAACCTTAACCGAAACTATAAAAAGATGAAAATGTTTGTTTTGATAAATTTATAACTAATCTAATACTAAACATGTAAATATGAATGAATTAATTAACTAAATGCAATTTGGCAATGGATGTAAATTTGAGTTTTTCTAATATGTGATGAATGTATTAGGATCACGAATCCCTATGTAATAATCTTTTTAAACTTAGTTTCACACCTTGACACACGATTGGAATAAAGAAGAATCAATGCTCCTAAATTATCTAACAATCTCTCTCGAGTAGAGTTAAACCTATTCAAATATGCGACCCGACTATATTTCTATGACGGATGCAAACATACAAGAATGCATGAGTTTTTATGAACACTTAAAGATTCACATAAGGCATAGCGGTATATTTCTATCCCCTATCGGACCCTATGATAATTTATATATGTCGAACNACATTAAAAATTTATATTACATAGTTCATCGTTCTCTTAACACGAATAAATCTAGCCTAACGTGCTATGAAGAAGAAAACACAAAGAATATTGAAGAATAGACATCACCCAATATAATTCTTAAATTTATTCTCGTGTTCTTGGCTTCGATCTTCGCGTTCTTCGCTTGTTCTCTGCTCCAAAAGCTCTTCAAAATATGTTGTAATGCGTCCTCCTTACTTTTGGATGGTCCTAGGGTTTTAAAAGACGTCCCAAAATTCGTTTCCATAAGAGTTGTATTCAAATTAGGAAATTAGAAATTTTTCCCCAATTTGGCCTGACCAGGGCGCACAGTAGAAAATGGGGCGGTTGCCCAGGCTCAGAAAGTGGCCCCTGTTAATTCGGTTGAGGGTCGGGTGGCCGCCCAACAAATATAGTTGGGTGGCTGCCTAGTTATAAAATTTTCGCAAATTTTCTTTTCAGCAATTTTCTTCATTCTTTCTTTCATATTGGTCATCCACATCAAATTCTTTCAATTGTAGTGTTTTAACTTTTACTCAAATGCATATTAGTCTCCAAAATTCCACCAATTAGCCATTTTATCCTTATTTCTTTTCCAATTACTTAGAAACGAGTTCAAATCTGAAATAAGATAAAATTAATCTAAGTAAAGTAAAATACAATAATAAAACGACACAAAAATCTAATAAAATGGCCCCGAATAAGTGCACAAAAATGCACTTATCAGGAGACGACTGATACAAGGCTGCGAAAAATTCGAAAGTTAGTGTAATTACAGTGGACATATTGTTTTTTAGTAATTATTAGAACATTTTTAAAATATTCTTTAGAGGTGAAATGTTGAAAGGCAGTATAATTATCGTGGACATATTATTTTTTATTAATTATTAGAACATCTTCACAAAAATTCTTTAAAAATGAAATGCTCTCTATTTGAATAATTAACCTTTAAAATTATGCTAAAAAAGACTCTTCAAATTAACATTTTAAAATTGAGTGAGCAAAACATTTCAATTTTCAATGCTCCATAGTCCATATAATAATCAATTAAATAGTATATACAAAGAAAATGAAAGAAAATTATATAATAATTTAAAAGGACGTTGCTGAAAAATAAAATATAGAAACAATAATAAAGACATGTTGGGATAACAAAATTAAGAGCTAAAAATAAAGAGGCTTTGGTGTATTTAAATTTATAAATACTTTCTAAATTACAAAATATGCTCTTTAAAAATCGAGAGTCTCTTGATGATTCTCTAATTTTTCTTGTAGAAGAATTTATTGAGAAAGTTACTTTAACTCAAATTTCCCTAAAATATCCTCTATTCAAATAAAAGACTTTCACTAAATTATTCAAATTAATTTATAAGTAGTTTTCTAATCACTAAAGCAGTTTTTAAAGTTTTGAAGACCTCATCAAATTGGTCGTATGAAAGATTTTGGAGTTATGGTATACGTATAACCAATGAATGTCGTTATATTTGTTTTTTAGTTTTGTGTATTCATTTTGAGATTGTTGAAAATGTGTTCTTTTCGACATTTTGAAAAATTGTTTTAAAAACACCACTAAACACCCAACGTTTTGAGTTTTCTTTGTAAATTTTTAACTTTTTGATTTTGAAAAAGCATTTTCGAAAATAGAAAAGAGAACGCGTTTTCACTATTTTTAGAAAATTGAAAACAGAAAACGACTTGAAAATGGTAAAGAGAACATACTCTAAACTATTTGAGAATGAAATATAGGTTGGAAATATGAAAAGGTTTAATTACATGGGGCTACAAATGGAAACAAGGAGTGTATAGTAACAAAAATGAAATAATAAATATCATCAAAAGGTGTCAAATACAAAAAAATATTGCACAATAATTGCACAATAACTCAATGAATCTATGAATAACCTACCAATTACATTAAGTACAGCACAATATATCAAGATATGTACTTTTAGTTATCTAAAAATCAATGAACCCCTTGATTGATTTGCCTCGAGTGGAGGGCATCTTGAATGGAAGTGTCCCCCTTCTTAAAAAAGCTAAGTAGATATATGTTAATGAAGGCATTTTCATGCTATTTTACTATTTCATTCTGCATTGCATAAAACCCCAAAATGAAACCCGAGACCAAACGTAATTCATCGTCCATTTGCCTATTGCTATGTCGGGATCTAAATTAAAAACAATCTAGGAGGACAATGCATGAGGTAGCATAATATATATCAGATTGCGTCTTAATTAGGGCTGGGCAAAATGTCCGAACTGAATCGAACCGAACCGAATCGAGCGGGTTTTTTTAAATGAAATACCCTAACGGGTTTCTGAATCGAGAACCGAATGGTTTGGTTCGGTTCTCGGTTCTAGACCCAGAACCGAAAAACGGATTAAGAACCAAATTTTTTTTTTAATATTGGATAAATCAATTTCTTTTATTTTTTTTAAACAAATTAATAATTTTTTTTCTTATTAAATCAGAGTGAGCAAAACATTTCAATTTTCGATGCTCCATAGTCCATATAATAATCAATTAAATAGTATATACAAAGAAAATGAAAGAAAATTATATAATAATTTAAAAGGACGTTGCTGAAAAATAAAATATAGAAACAATAATAAATACATGTTGGGATAACAAAATTCAGAGCTAAAAATAAAGAGGCTTTGGTGTATTTAAATTTTTAAATTTATAAATACTTTCTAAATTGTAAAATATGATCTTTAAAAATCGAGAGTCTCTTGGTGATTTTCTAATGTTTTTTGTAGAAGAATTTATTGAGAAAGTTACTTTAACTCAAATTTCTCTAAAATATCCTCTATTCAAATAAAAGACTTTCACTAAATTATTCAAATTAATTTAAAAGTAGTTTTCTAATCACTAAAGCAGTTTTTAAAGTTTTGAAGACCTCATCAAATTGGTCGTATGAAAGATTTTGGAGTTATGGTATATGTATAACCAATGAATGTCGTTATATTTGTTTTTTAGTTTTGTGTATTCATTTTGAGATTGTTGAAAATGTGTTCTTTTCGACATTTTGAAAAATTATTTTAAAAACACCACTAAACACCCAACGTTTTGAGTTTTCTTTGTAAATTTTTAACTTTTTGATTTTGAAAAAGCATTTTCGAAAATAGAAAAGAGAACGCGTTTTCACTATTTTAGAAAATTGAAAATAGAAAACGACTTGAAAATGATAAAGAGAACATACTCTAAACTATTTGAAAATGAAATATAGTTGGAAATATGAAAAAGTTTAATTACATGGGGTTACAAATGGAAACAAGGAGTGTATAGTAACAAAAATGAAATAATAAATATCGTCAAAAGGTGTCAAATATAAAAAAATATTGCATAATAATTGCACAATAACTCAATGAATCTATGAATAACCTACCAATTACATTAAGTACACGCGTATAAATATATCAAGAATTGTACTTTTAGTTATCTAAAAATCAATGAACCCCTTGATTGATTTGCAAGTGGAGGGCATCTTGAATGGAAGTCCCCTTCTTAAAAAAGCTAAGTAGATATATGTTAATGAAGGCATTTTCATGCTATTTTACTATTTCATTCTGCATTGCATAAAACCCCAAAATGAAACCCGAGACCAAGCGTAATTCATCGTCCATTTGCCTATTGCTATGTCGGGATCTAAATTAAAAACAATCTAGGAGGACAATGCATGAGGTAGCATAATATATATCAAATTGCGTCTTAATGTAGTACATAGTTTCGAGAGCTCAATTCGTATACAAGTGTAAACATGCATAACATCACAATCTAAGAAAAAACGTAAATTTTGAATAATGTTGAAAAATATATCGCATAGATAGATTTTTTATAATGTCGTGAATTGTATAATGTGTTCAATCAAATTGAATGAAGTAAAATTCAAAATCACTATTGATTCACACAAGTTCGCTAATGCATTCGAACATATATATAAACTTGTTAAAATAAGAGTTCATTAATAAGTTGAAACGTGCACTATTGAAAAAAATATTTTGAACACTTCTTTTGATGATCGTGTCAAGTCCATTTGTCGTGAGAAAAGTATTTTGACTTTAAAATCACATTAACTAAGAAAGCCAATTTTAATAATAATAGGAAAAATGTCATTCCAACCTATATGAACATAATTTGCAGCCACATATGATTTTTGAGAAGTGTCATGGGAGACACATTTAGGAAGATTAAATGTTTTTACTTGTAATATTTGATTTTCAAGAAAAAAAATGGTATATGAAATTGATTTTATTTAGATATTTCCTAATCTACCAAACATAAAAGAATGTTATATTCCTTCCACTCCCATTCTGCCAATTTTCCATT